AGCGCACATCAAAGCTTATTACAAATATGAATTTAAAAATTTTAATGTGCGCATTCCGCTCAGAATCTTAAAACCCATGAGCGCTTTGCGCACATATTGTTGTTATTCTACTATCATCTCACAATTTGATTGGTCGATCGGCCAATAAAATCACGAGATGATCATCAAAATCTAACCAATCACAATGAAAGTTCGCTATGCTTCTGTTAGTAGTTATGCTATTAAAAAATGGAAAGAAGTAACAATGATTAAAAACAGATTATTTGAGTGCCCCTTTTGCAAAAATGAATTGATTTAAAATCAACATATAAATTCCCAAAAAATCAAATGTTAAAAGGTCTTTATAATAAATTAAAACAAGCAGATTATTTTGATAAATTACCTAAAGGACGACTGATTTCGCTATATAGTATAGAAGAAAAATTGGGTTTAAAATTTAATAAGTATAAAACATTTCGTGATTCTATGATTTCAGAATCATTTTTATCAATTTTTCAAAAAGTTCAATCAAAAGTTATGTTACCGGCTTTTAATAAGGCAGCTAAATCAGAGCAACAAAAAGACTATGCAGCAGTTATAATGTGGTTAACTCAAGTTTTACAACAATACCCAAAAAGCTATTCAATTCGATGTAGACGAGCGTTTGCATCCTACCAACTTGAAATTTATTCAGAAGCTATAGATGATTTAGATATTGCAATTAAATTAAAGCCATCAAAATCATTGGCTTATATTTATAGAGGCCGTATATTTCAGGATATAAACAGACATGAAGAATCACTTGTAGATATGAATAAATCGTTAGAGATTGAACCAAATAATGCATATTCCGTAGTCAAAGTTATTATAGTTTGAATAGGTATGAAGAATCACTTGCAGATTTGAATAAATCGTTAGAAATTGAACCAAATAATGCATTTGCATTAAGAAGTCGTGGAGAAACTTATCGTAGGTTAGAAAGATACAATGAATCACTTGCAGATTTAAATCAATCATTAGAAATTGAACCAAATAATATTTACATTTAGTAGTCGTTGAGCAACTTATCGCGAGTTAAAAAGATATGAAGAATCTCTTGCAGATTTAAATCAAT